TTAGAGACGCTGAGAGATATGGCCTAGAACAGAAGTCAGTGGCGCAAATGCTGTACGGTCTGTCTGTCGAAATCCGGTGCCCCGTAAAAACAACGAAAATATATAATATGTTTATATATGTCTTGGGAAGCGTGCGTTGTGGACTGTTTAGGTGAATCCTCGTGCACCCCACTGAAACTGGGGACATCAAGAACTGAATGGACTAAAGCGCGAGGCTGTTGCACACCGTGTGAAAACTGAACTGATTTAGAGCGGGTTACACTTGGGATATAGTCATCGGCTTATATTTCTGCTAATGTTTTTATACTACCTTATTCCATGTATGCGGTTTGATAACGATCCCCGTACTTTGTTTTTTATTTGACTGTCAGTCAAAAATTGTCGAATATAAACACTGCACTAAACTGCAGTGAATCGAATTATGGCATGAAGTTTACTCATTCTTTTCTCGTGTGAGATTTGTATGATGAGTAATGTTTTCAATGATGGCCCCAGGAAATTAAGTGCAGCAGCCGAAACTTTCGTTTCAGCACACGCCACCCACCCTTAATTGTTTTGGAAATGATAAGATGTTTGCCGATCCGCTAATTTATCGAGAGGACAATCCACATCACTCATTAGCTCTGTCAATCCATCTCATCTCAGTGCATCGTGTCTCAATCTCCGGTTCCTCATCCCTTTTGTCCGTAGACTGTTGATAAAGAATCTCCTGCTCAGTTATTTTCAACTACCCAATTCGGAAAAGCAAAATGGTCTGCGTGTAATTGGGTCGTTGCTTCACTTCACCGATGAGGAATACAAAAAGGTAAGCGGGTTTCTCCTGACTAATTGTGTATTCACTTTATGCCTTGTGAACGCTGTGATTCTGTGACAAGTTTACCTGGTTTAGTGCTTGTGGAACTACTGTTACGCCCGAGCCATTTTCTGTAGCTCACTGCTCGCCTATCCGGGTTCAGAATGGTAAAATTTTATCGATGGGAAGTTTTGAAAAATCATTTCTGTTCAATGTCCAATGCCGTTCAGTGTTACGCACACCCGTATAGAACCTAACAAGAACGCGGCTTCGCAAAACGAATTATGGTTCTAGACCCACAGCTTCTTGTGGTTTAGCGTGAATCAACCTAACTCGTGTCGTCAGTGGAAACAGCGTGCACATTATTTGCATCGTTAGCTCACTCCAGAAATCGCAAGGCTTCTTTTCCCGAATGTAAGCACCCACGTACACACCATGCAGTGTTTTAGCATATTATCTTTTTGTGTTGATCATGGAGTTTTATGCTTATAAACTGGTAAAACTTGTTTTCATCATGTGTAACTTGGATGCGTTAGCAATCAATGCGGAAGAGCCCCCCCCCATATCCACGGTCAAAATATTTTTTCAGTGGACTATTCACTGTCATTCCGAATTACGTGCAGTTAAGTAAACTCAGTGACAACCTGAGCATCCACTACCACATTCTTCCTCTTAGGAGTTCACACTCCCCTTGGTTGTGCAAGATTGATTTTAGGTGTAATTTTTTGCGGTTTCAAGCACTCGTAGTGTTAGCAGTGGGTCTCGGAACTGGTAACATTTGGACAACCACTGGTCTTTGCAATCAACTCACCCTGAGAACTGCGAATTTTGTGCAATGTTATTTCTTTTGACAAACTTAGTCTGATATTTAAACTCTATATTCTCCCTCCTTTTTTTCTTTGAGAACTTGGTGAATACAGTTTCTCCATGTTAATTTTCCTTATTTTTAGGCGGGATCAAGTTCTGGGGCTATTCCTACCTTACTGAACTGGATGCGCACGGCAGTGTCCAGTCTTCCATCTGGGCCGCCAAAGGATGTCACTTTCGCATCATCCTATCCGGACAAGGTTAGTAATCAAGCCTTATGTGTTTCATCATTGACCTGTTTGTGTGCTGTCCAATGATTCCACATGATTAGCATGTCATCGATGCGATACGCAGCACTTATGTACAAATGAAACACTCGACCATCGAGCACACTGTTATTCACGGACCACTTAACCAAGTTCGTCATACGTGATGTTCTACAGCGTGTTTTGTTCAGTTTAGCCAACTGCGTAGTTGGACTCCTCCCACGGAAACTGAAGGTTGACCTGGAGTACGTTGAGGACCTCGCTTTCGTGAGTGACCACACACAAACAATCCAACACGCCTCAAAGCACTTGGTGATCAGGGAAGGATATGCTATTTGTTAGAACTCATCTCAATAGTAGACGTGCCTTTCGCCAACCCGAGACACATTTGGCGCCGCGATGATTTGTACATCACCTCAGTTCGTAGTTTCTTGCTTTATTGTTGGAGCACCTGGCCTCTCCGCGTTGAGGATATCAATGGAATTTCTTTATTCAACCACCAAGCACTTCGAAATATTTCGCGTATCTGGCAGGCACCAAATTCAGCTTGCGTTCACAAACGAATTTGCTAGATCGTTGCATTTTTTAAACCATTTTGGTATTCCACTAGGTGGGGGATAATATTGGTTAACGTAACCTATCTCGTGCCCGTATCACAGTAATCACTGCTCCCTGATATCAGGCAGTAACTATTATCTTGGAGGATAGTAGAACATAAAGCGAGTGCAGCGAAGAAGCTAGTGGTCTAAATGAAAGTTCGTTTTCAAATGAGGTGATTAGTTTGCCTTGACGATGCCTATTTTCGAGCGCTTTTCGGACATTAACTCACATCGCGTTAACTAGCAGTTTGCTCTCTCCGCGGTGCACATCGCTTAGCTTCTTCGGTTTTTGAATAAGTGGAATGTATGCGCTCGCCTAATCTCTTTTGTTTTCACCTGTTTATTACAGTCTTTCACCGAGCTCTTTTTGACGTTCCTGGAGCAGGAGGCTGGGTTACGTGCACCATTAAAGTTGTCCATGGATCATTACACGCCTGAATCTGTGCGACCTGCTGCATCCAGGCGTCCATCACAACCAGATAGTGAGCTTGAGGATCCGCAGTCTCACAATTGGTCCCATCATTCCGCACTGCTAACATCAACCGCGCCCATCCCCATGCGAGTTCCGGATGCCATTCTCTCTCAATCTAGCTCGAATCGTGACTCAAAAGCACCGCTGAATCCTCTCTTTCAGATGTAATTTTCATTCTCCTGGTCCCTAACCCATCTCTCTCTTTTGTCAGATATTCTTGTTAGTTCCATATTTGTTATTCGTAACTCTTCCATTG